CATAATTCGGTTACAAGAAACGTTAAAGTTCCATAAATGCATACCTTTGCCTAATAACAAAGGCATAAATGTGTTTGTTTGTTCCCCCCACGTTATATCAGTTGCACAGAAGTAGCTGGCAACGCAAGTAATCCGGGCGCTGCAGCTTTAAGCAGCTGCGCACGCTCCAGCGGACGGCAATCACTTTCTGGCAGACAATCACTTTTTGGTACAACATTGGGAAAGACTCCGTGCTGAGTAAACGAGTATCAAGCAGTGGAGGAGGCAGTCGGCTGGCAGGACTTTCCGCTATAGCAGTTTTAAGTTGTGCAGCTAAGAGCGTTTTCTCCCTGTTCACACGATAACCGTCTTAAGCTAACAGCGAGGCTCTGTCTGTGTTACTCAGAGACTAACACACACATTCGATAGTCGCTTACCCAAACTCCAGATGAATCGCTATGGACGCTGCCATATTGTCGGCACATGCAGGAAGTATTGGAGGGGAAGTCGGAAATGACGTATTTGGAACCGGCAAATTATCATCAGTTTCTGTCAAATCACGTGGAGACGTAACCGTCAATCTGTTTAAATCATACATTATTATTATTATTATTATTATTATTATTATTATTATTATTATTATTACTATTATTATTATTATTATTATTATTATTATTATTATTATTCCGTTGGAAACAAACATATTTGTTATTTATTAAACAAACCATTAAATATGTATTCATATGCAGACTGTAAGTAAACTATACAAACATTTATTTGAATTCCATTAAAAGTTACTAGGTTATTAATTTACTTGTTTGTGAACAATTAAATCGGTTGCTTTTACTTGATGTAATGATAAGAAGCGGTTTTGAGTTCTTGTGTAGATATGTCTGTCTGTGGACACATTTTGTCAAAGAGCTCAAGTCACAACCTTGCAAGTCAGACTTAAAATATCTTACAGGCGTCTACCTTGGACGTAAATGAAGGCTGAGTTTAAATATGGGTGTGATCCAACTCATGAATTCTGCGTGGCAGTACTGGGAGGAGTGGTGGAGGGAAGTAGGAAGGCACCCTTCCCATGTAATGCCACTGTGCCACACACTTTTTGATTTGTAACTCCCTGGAGCATCTTTATCTATCACCTTGGGAGTGTAACAGCTACTGCAAATTGGTAGGTGTATACTTGTATAAGTCAACATGACAGCACTGCCACTGTGCAAGATAGTCACAAAAATTTTAAGGAGGGGAGTCCAGTTTAGGGGTTTATATTTGAAAGTGTGAATTAAACCTTGTTTACTTTTTTTTTTTTACTTTAATTTTTAAATATATTTTTGCAGTTGAAGTTTTTTAGCTGTAGTTAAATGTTTCGTAGTTGTGAAAATTAGAATGTGTTTTAAATAAAAAAAATTCTTTATCTGCGTTTTGAGTTATTCTCTTGTATATTAAGGCCTTTAAAAGGTTTCATATTTGTAAGGCAAATATTACTCCATGCTATTGTTCCCATTTAAAAGCTGATATTCCCTTGTACTTTGCCTTATTTTAATTAGAAGGTATTAGTTCTCTCTCGTCAACATGTATTTGCACTCTGCCTATTAATACTAAAGCATGCATAAGCATGGAACTACACTGTCTATTGCACCTTTCACACATGCATCCTCAGTCATGCTGGTGACAGTTCCAGCCCTAGCATAGGTTACAGAATGTGAAGGATGAGGAGGGGGTGGGAGAGGAGATGGTCAGAGGTTTGAATTGCAAATCTGCTGCCGTCTGTTGGAGTCCAAGCCTTAGCAGGCCCTTCCTCGTCTTTATTCATGTGTTAATGAGGAGTCAGTGCAGGGGCAGATAGACAGATCGACCAGGGGCCTGGAGGGTGTGAGGGGAGTGTGAGGTGTGGGTGGGGACACAGGCGGGAAAATCCGGGAGTACTCTGATGGTGGAGGCTGCAGTGGCCATTCTGAAAGAAAATGAAGACATGATGATTATGATTGCAGTCTTTTGTCCCTGCTGCAATGAGAAGTATCCAGACAAGTGAAAACAGCCACGGGGCGAGCTCAGAGGTGTGGGTGGGATTTTTATGGCCATAAGTTTCATGGTTATAGAGTGAGTTATCCAGTAATGATCACACCATCGCTGCTTGTCATGTCACATTTGCTAAGCTGTGTTGAGGTTCATGTACAGCTGTTATGCATAGTGTGCCACATTTCTGTGGAACAAAGATGGATTTTACTTGCTTCTGTTTAAAGAACAGTCACAGCAGTGACCATGACGCCTTCAGTTCAGTACTTAGTAAACCTGAATCTTTTTTTTCACATGCATTATTCCTAAAACTTCAAATCACATCTTCTCTGCTTTACATGTTAAAGGAAGCCAACTGATGGCTCAAATGTGCATCTTCTGCAAGATTTTTTTGAAAGGGCCTATTTGAAGTTAAAAAAAAAAAAGACTAATCTAATTATCATGCTGCAGTTCTTTTCTTCCTCTTTCTCTTCTTTTTCTTTTTCATTATCCAATACCAGGCTTTACATACCATTTTTAATAACAATTTTATTGCTGTGCTCAAAATATGATTGAGTTAAAACATATGTAATTATCAGATATCTGAACTGGATTATTCTTAATTAGCTTACAATTTCATTCTATGAAAGAAGATTGGTAACCCGATCGGCCTGCTATCATGCTCCACCTTCAACACACAGTATATCCACCCAATTTTTAGTCATGTTCTCCTTTCAGGTTAGATGAGAAATAGGAATCATCACTTTCTTCCACTAATATCTGGCTGCGGATGGGCAGCAGTTGTTAACGTTATGCTACCAGGCAGCAGCAAATCGAGCAGCCAAGGTCACACACGATCAGATGACAATGACCAACACAACGGATTAGCTATAGAAAGAGTGGGGGTAGAGATTAGGGGTGAATTGATGACGGTTGGCTGGCCGACTGGCTTTCAGGTCTGGGAGATCTAGGGTCTGTTTCAATAAGGAACATAAAGAGCAGAAATTAACATGTACCATGATACCAAGCAGGGCGAATCCTCTTAGAGATTACATCCATAACATGTTACGCCTATGGAACTGTATGGAAAGGGAAGACAAAGACACAAGCAAATTATAATTTTTTATTTTATTTTTATTTTTTATTTTTTTTGCCTTAGCAGATTGCAGAGCATGCTGCTGTGTCTGATTCTATTGTATTCTTTTTGTTTGGTTCCTTTATGCTTACAAGCATAGCTGATGTAGATGTAGTCATTTTTCAACTTTATCTTTTTTGAGACAAATGTTTTGACTGGAAAAAGCTGACTTCTTCAGGATTATTGCCTTCTTAATGTCACTATTGCATTCTTCATTAGCGGAATAACCACCAACAGCAGTGTTCCTGCAACATCTGTGTTGTGCTATACATAGACATACGTTGGCAAAAGCACACAAACACATGCATGCACACTTAAGGACACACATGCACACACACGTGTGCGCACACACCCTCCATCTGTCTTTTCTCCCTCCTGCTGCCATCAGAATGGATCTGTCTGCAAAACAATGTGGGATGCGTCACACAAGTGCATATCATATGCTTCATTTTCCCGTAAACACGAGGTAGATACCTGTGCATTTTCATGGCTATTAAAACACTAATACAGTGCCCTGGATTGTGCACAGTCTAAGAACAAGTGGACCGACAAGAGCTAATCTTGAACCTTTAAAACCCGTGAAGTACTCGTGCACCACCAGCTACCTAAACCTAAACTAGACTAGGATTGAAGATGGTGATGACAATGGTAACTGAGAGCTAAGGTTGTAAACTGTATATAAAAGAAGGGCAACCTTTTGTTTGATCAAATGGTGACACCTACTGGCTTCCAATCAACATTGCAAGAAAATGGCTTCTTTGGGCACCATTATTTCCTTTTATCCTTATGAGTTCTAAAATAGTTGTTTTAGAACTCTTACTCATCATTTATACTATGAGTAATAGTGGTTCAGCTTTTTATGCTAGAATATTCAAACAGAGGAAGTTTTTTTTTTAGTTTCTAAAAAAGTAGCAGTATCACAAGGTAGAAATATTCCAGACCCGCATTCTCAATTTTCCATCCAGCTATCCATTTTGTTCTCCTTATCCTGGAGAGTAAATTTCCCCCAAAATGTCAGCACTGAAAAGTCTATCTTCAAGATAACACATTTACTCCTAAGACTATTTATTCCTACAGGAGACATAAACCTTTTAAAGTCAGTTACAAATATATAGTTTCCCTTTTAAACACTAGAGCACCACAGCTTTAATCAAACTAGAACCACACATTAATTAAATAAATAAAAAATAATAATCAGCAGTTTTTGCTCATCTCTGATTCTCTGTTGCTACATTGCTGGGTTCAAACCAAATGAGAGTTTTTATTGTTTAGACTGTTTGGAATTTTCTTATATAAAATGTTGTCAGTTCTCTATCATTTACTGTGATTGGGAGTTCTCAAAGTCTACATACTTAGCTGCACAGAAAAAAATCAAACAAATCAGCGCTTTGGTATTAAGTCATTTCAGAGTGGTAGTTCAGGAGAATAACCCTGCACTGCATCTGTGTAGTGTGTGTGAATATTAGATTAAAGTGCTTGTCTGGATGCATGTGTGACTGGGTGAATGAGGTTTGTAGTGTTAAGTCTTTTGACTGGTCAATGAGAGCAGAAAAGTGCCATATAAGTACCAGTCCAACTGCCATATTTGTACTTGTTTGTAGTTTCCTTGTTCTTTTTTCCTTCCCCTCATCCCCCAGTTGCGGCAGATGGTTGCATCCATGTGGAGTTTTAATTTTGTGGCTGGTTGTTGTATGCGTTTGCAGTGTATCTGATGATGAAGAAAAATGACTACGGTATCTCTTATCGTTTCATCTGATTTGATGATTACAGAAACGTCTCAAACAAAAATTAGCCTTTAACGAGGAATCAGATTGTTAAAATATAAATGTGTTATGTACAGACAAACCTATACATGCCACATTCACAGCAAAAAGCAAACAAAACAGAATGCATTGACACAAGCAATTTTATTTGAAAAAAGTGAACTGTACAGGACGTAAAAAAAAGAAGAAAAAGAAAAAAGAAAATAAATGAAATCAGTCCCAATCATTTCTTGACATGCTGACAAAGCAGCTTCCTGTACAGCATTCAACAGAGGACAAATAAAAACATATTACATCACTGAAACCATTGTTATCAGTTATCAAACCTAAACCAGTAGGCATACTCTTGGTCTCGAAACACACACAATAAAAGTGGCATTTCTTCACGTATAGGTCTTCAATGTTACAATTCATGATTCAGGGTTTTGTTTTTTTTTGCTGACTAAACCACGCCCCCTGTTGGACCACAGTGGGACTGTCACATGGCTCCTTCCTTCATGAACTCTAGATCTGTACAGCTTATCCCAAACTAGAAAATGCAAATCGAACATCTATTTAAGAATATCCCAGTAAGGACAATTTTCAGAAGCATTTCTGTTTAACTGAATTCTGATTTGACTTTCATCCATTCAGTTATAAGAATTTTTTTTTAAAACATCCACAATGGAAGTCTCTTCCCCAGGGTTCTCAGCATTTGGTTGAAACGATTGCATAGCTCTGAGAGTTAGCGCTAGCCCTCTCAGGCCCTTCAAATGTTAAAGCAAAAACATAACACTGGATAGTCAAGCAAAATGTAACCCCAAAGAAATAAACTTTGTTCAGACATTTTTAGCTGTATTGCTGCAACACAAATTCAAACATACAAGCAGTAGACACTTTTCTTCAGATGTACTACAAACGTGGCACTATTAATTCATCTTTAAAGATTTTCCACAGACACAAAATATCTGCACTGAATGTTATATTTCCTGACTTTGACACATTTTTGTACGGAAGTTATCGAATTGCTACTAAAGCAACTTTTTAGTTGGCGTAACATTTTCTGGATCAATGCATCAAACATTTCTTTCAGCAAATTTGCAAAACGGAGCCAAATTCAAACTAAAGCATGTTCCTTAAAGTTTACATCTTAACTGAGACATTGATTTAAAATGTAAACGCTACATTTTTCTTGTCTTTTGTAATGCTGTTTTAGCTCATTTTGGTGCACAGGACAGAAAATATGAGAAGGCTAAGTCAAACAGGCAACGCGGGGAGCTTGCCTTGACCTCTTAATGTTTTTAACCACTCACAAAACCCTCATATTGAAGTTGCTGGATAACTTGTGTGAATGTTTCATTTCTGGTACATTTATTAATGCATGCCTGATACATTTTTAATGGGATTCAGTGGGACTGCATGATACATATTTCATGAGATTTTATGAGCAGGGTTCCCTCGGAATGAGCACTGACAGATTCTCTTCAGTTTCATGAAGCAATGTACATAATGTTTTGATATCCTTTGATCATAATGAATAAATAAGACAAAAAAATAAAATAGACATGAAACTTTAATGACATACAAAAATGAAGAAACGCAAACACACTTGCCAGCAGACAAACACTCACTCATTCTTACAGACTAAACATCTACATGAGCTATGCAAGTTTGGCTACAGTGTGAGACAGCAGTTGAGTATCCGTGTTTTACAGGAGCAAAGCCAAATTCTGCACCTCGGTTTGGCACAGTGTAAATGTTGTACCAGAAGAACTGGTCATCCTTCTGCTCCATCTTCTGTTCCGCTTAGATTATCTTCTCTCCCTTTTTATTTGAATATTTCAGCAGTAAGTGAGGAAGTCCACAAAGGGGAACGGAAGAAACTCTGTACCTCTTTTTAAATCCACAGTGAGTGCAACACATTGCCAGCGAGACCCTTTCCGTGTTCCTCTTGCTCACTGCACATACTCTTTTAGCTGCCTCTTCTTTCACTCTCACCTTTTTCAGTGTCCAAACTGAGCACTCCCACACCATCCTTTGCAATGCAAAACAAGGCCATACCACTAAGAGCGGTAAACTAAAGCACCTGCCCTGTAGGTTGTCTGGGCAGGTGCTATAGCTCGCTGTGACGCACAGGAGGCTCTAGCTTGTGTGATAGGGCGGTGAGGACCTTGTCAAACTTCTCGTAACGCTCCGATTGGCTGCCCTCAGAGCCACGGCTGCCCCACAGCAGACGCATCTGAAACTCCGTCTGGAAGATGTCATGTATTTCAGCTCGTTCCTGAATTCCTGGAGAGGAGAGGAAGTAACTTAATAAGTTACACTGTAATAATGGTGGAAAAGAAGTAAACAGAAATACATCTAACAAACTTTACTGTTGCAAACTTAAATATCTAACCCAACCACATCAACAAGAAACTGTGAATAATATAAACTGCATTTATAAATAAAATCACAAATAAAATAAAATGTGAAAACTTAATTACATAAAACATGGATGGAAAAATTGTATTGAGAAGCAAAACTCAATTTTTTAAAAATTTCCACCCATTCCCCACCGTTTATGACCAGTTAATACCAAATGACAGACTTTGCAAACATGTGAGCCAGTTCTTTTTGCTGGTGAAGACTGTGAGACAAGGCTGAGAGCTCTGAAAACTGGCGCTTTGAGAACCGATAACTTCCGTTGCCCATGCTGCTGAATTTTCCACGCTTAATGATCATTCCACGCATTGCAGTAAGTCTACAGGGAAATCAACGTAAATGTACCCAGCGCTTAATAAAAGGAAGTACAACTCCCAAACCCTAACCTGTAAAATGGATTAGAGATGGATTTGGGCCATAAAATGTTTTAGCTGAACTAAGTTTTACAGCATGTAATAAGCATCTCCACTCTGGTCTGTAGAACTGTTGATGAAAGGAGCAAGCTGAGGTCACAGTGATCAATAGCAGAATAACGGAAAACAGAACTGAACTGATAGCTATTGACAGATTGTTCGATAATGCAGTAACTGATTCAAACTGAGAACCAGTGGAGGGATATTAAGAGGTCAATACAGTCTGCATGGTAGTAACCACACACGATTATTACATCACAGGGATGCTGTGACACTGAACACACATTTATAGCAACGCATCGAGATGTAACAACATGTCAAGCTGGCAACAACCAACTGATTACTGACAGGAAACAAGGGCTACGGCATATATTTATTACGCCACTGGGCTATAGCACCAACAAATTTGCCACATAAGTCTTAAAAATCCTACAAAAATCAACTACAGCACAAACACAAAGGAAAGGTCCACTGTGAGTGACTGCAATTAACTTAACCCACTAGTCAAAACTTACATCCTGCAGTAAAAGCTACAATGTCATTAGTTTTGCAGAAACCTGAAAATAAATAAAATATTGGACTGGATCTAGGTTGCTCTTACCCTGTAATTTCGTCTCTGCATTGGTTCTGTAGAGCTCCCCGTGATGTGCAATGGTGCGAGCTGCCTCTAGGTGGTACATGACTACATCTACCCCCACCTCTGCACTCTCCCAGGGTTCCAGTACATCCCCAAGAGCCATACCACGCTCCAGTAAAGACAGGACGGGAATGATGTGAGGGAAGGTGGTGTTGGACAGAGCACTGGATTCTGAAAGCACGGAATAGTTTTACTTTAGCGCTGTTGATGAATTTTTGCACAACACCAACCAGCCACAGAAATCTCACCTTTGCCGTCATTTATATTCTTCATGAAAGGCTTGAGTTTCTTCTCGTATAGAATAGCTCCCTCTGTATGTCTTTGGCGTAAGGTTACCCATGTCTGCTCCAGACGGGATATCTGAGGGAGTGAAAGACACAAAATTAGAATGCGTTTGGCGCTAGCCTTCACGGATTTTCCACGCTAACGACGGTGGCTTCTGACTCTCTTACCTGCGGGAGCTCCAGGGCTCTCATCACAGCAGCAAAACCAAACATGTTGCCCAGGCTGCTTTTCAACTCTGCTGCTAATTGGATGGTCTTATGGAGCAGGGCCGCCCTCTCCTCCGTACTTCCTGTACAGCCAAGCAGGTCCACAGCCATCATGATAGACATGGTGTAGAACCTGAGAAACAAAGT